GAGCTTGACCTTGCAGATATTTTAAATGTTGGAACTCAACGCATGCTAATCCCAGAAGTGTCTTCTAAGGACATTAGTGCTAAAAATCGTTACTTCTTGCTCTTCATGCGCTTTAATCTGGTAAATTTAAAGCACAACCAGGGTTTATTACCCCCCCTTAGCAAAACCACATGCCTCCTATGTCCGAGATAACCCTTGCAGTAACATAACACACAGATAAAGACGCTGTTGATTAGATACGCCTCTGGGGAGCTTAATGGCTTGCTGCTTGCATACTGTGAGTGCTGAAAACCCTGGTACAGGCAGCAGGAGCAACCAAAGCCGTACCGGAACGGCATAAAGTTAGCGCAGAAGTTTCTACTCATGCCGCTCAGCGTAATGTTATTTTCCACTCAAAAAGGTGACCGGAACTCATCTCTCCTAAAGGGCCATCATTAGGGAGGACGGATTTTCTTAAAAGGCTGTGGAAGGATGCTTAAGTTTGGTTTGTGGCTGCTTTAACGCTTGTGTATGTGCAGGTCCAGCCCAGCGTGTACGAGCTGCTCGAGGTGAGGTGGGCTCATGCTAAAGGGCGTTTGCTGTCACCAAAGGTGGCTTTCTCAGCCCTGGAGACCGGCTTACCCCGTTTATCCTATGCAGTCTGTTGGGTCCTGCAAACACGTGCTTGGAGAGGGATTGCAGAGGAGAAGAGGATATGCGGACACCTTTGGGTTTGATGTTTTACCTGTTAACTTCACAGAACCTGCCAAAAAAAGCCATCCCTTGGCTTTTTTACATCTCTATCAGCCAGGATTGGCGTTTAAACAAGGATTTCGTTTGTTTGTGTCTTGTGCTACAAGAGGTAAACCCCTGCTACTCCACGTGGTGCCCATGAAAGGTTTCCATGTCATGTCCCATCTGTGTTGGTGAGCAGATCTGTCACTGCAGGTAACTGGAGTTACTGAGATGCAGGAGCTGCCTCTATAGACGCTCTTGGCCCTTTAATATTGCAAAGCCAAATTAAAAATATTGAAGGGCTGAGAGTCCATAGCGTTAGCCTAAACCTGTAGTTGGGGTGGAGTGCAAGTGTGCGTGCAATTGCACAGCTCTGCTGTGTACCTTACCAGAGCCCCCTTGCTCAATGACTTGAATTTTCTGAATTTTGTTTGGTTTAGCTTAAATCTCATCCTAATTAATTTAAAGCTGATGTAAACATGATTTTATTTTTTTTTAGCTCAACGCCCCCCGCCCCGAGTCTACTTGCCGTTTGCTCTGGCTCAATTAAATTCTTTTTAAAATCACCCTGTAATTAAATTGGTAAAGTTGTGCCTATCTCCTGTTCTTCCCAGGGCTGCCCAGCATACGCTTTCGAGGAATACTCGCCCTCATTAAGGTGATAAATGGATTCTTGCTAATGGTCACTTACCTGTCTCTCACTGCCCTTCTCCAAGTTTCTTGAGCCTGCAAGGAGTAGTTTCCTTCTGGTTCTTATCTCGGAGTCAGCTGGGTCTTGCCTGGCCCGCAGCACAGCCACTTAAATGAGCCGGAGCTGGAATGTGCTCCTGTGCTCGCTGTGAACTGCTGTGCCATGAAAGGGAATTAATATTCCCAGCCGCTTTGCAGAACTTCATCCTGCTCGCAGGCTGGTGAGAAGTGGTCCCAAAATAGCCGTGATTAATCACAGGAAATTTGTGTTATTCAGTTTTCTTCCAGATAACTGTTTACTACAACAGATGTTACAGGAATAAAATGGCGAAAAAGACCACGGATGGATATGTGGGAGCTGAAGGTCACACTGCTGGGCATCTTGCGAGCTCCATCCCTTGCATGAGTATGACAGCCAGAGCTGGAAATGATCCCGTTAAAGAGGAACCATCCTAAATTCTCCCTTAAAGCTGGGTTTGGTTGACTGCAGTGTGCCGTAGGGCTGCTGCTGTGCCGGTGCGCTGAACAGTGCCTGACTGTTCCCATGCCCCGGGTCTTGATCCTCTCATCCCACGCTGAACAGTGCCTGACTGTTCCCATGCCCCGGGATGGGGCATCCCATTCCCTTGTCCTAACAACTGTTGGTTTGCTGGATGGATGCAGAGTTGGTGTGTCCAGCTGAGACCTCGGAGGGAGGTAGAAATGCCTTGGTTTCCCCCTGTTAGATGATAGCGGGCATGGAGTGATGGAGGAAGGATGGAGGAGAAACGGTCAGAAGGAGGTATGGGAGAAGAAAGCAGCCCATGTATGATGTACAGCAGAAGAAGACACTCTGGAACGGTGAATAACTCTGGTTTAGCACTGAAATAGTATCTAAAAGGCAAATAAAATCAAATTCCCTCCTCTTAGAATTTGTAATAATGAATTAATATATGAGTGTGTGTTTGCCAGAGCCTGGGCCAAGGCAGTCGGTGGTGGGAGAAAGGCTGAGCAGTGCCTCGGCCGCCTGAGTCGCAGGAATAACCGGATGCTGCATCGTGAGGACCTGCAGGACGTGTTTCCCCAAGTATAAGGATTTACAGTATGGACTGTGGGCAAGTACTTGCCACCATGCCTGGCCTTTCCCTGCTAGTCCTGTACCCCAGGAGTCTGTCATAGCACCGCTTTGCTGAGAGAATTCTGTTAAAGAGCAAAGAGCACTGGCCGCTTTGTTTATCCTGAAGTCTTTTAATTAACAGAGCTTAAAAAGAAAGCGGCCGTAACCCAGGACAGTAAACACTTGTTAGCAAGCAAAACTTCAAGCAGTTACAGAAGAAAAGCATAAAACCTAGAAGCTGCAATATTGAGCTTCACCTGAGGTCTGACTCTTGTTTTCCCAAGGCTTTCAGCGGGGCATCTCTTTGCTGTAGGAACCCCAAGATGACATGGCAGTGTCTGGTCTGATCTAGATTAACATCAAATTTTAAATATTTTTTATATATATATGTATAAAATAAAGAGAAAGTAGTAAGGAAATGTCTCTATAACACGTTTCTGAATTTATTTCTTCCAGTGGTTTTCAGCTAGCTTCTTCATAGGGGCTTCTCCATTCCTTTTAGCAGAGCCAAAAGGTCCTGTAAGAAAACTGAGAAGATCAGGTCAGTGCCTGTCTGGTGCTTTGGAGTGCTCAAAGAACCAGTAACGTGCAACAGATTCACTTGGTGTTGGAAAATAATCTGGGAGTTGAATGCATTTTAAGCTGAAATAATATTTTTTTATGTTATTTACTTACTTCTCATCACTTCTATTCACAGTTAAACACGATTCTCCCGTCACACGAGTGCTGCAGTGCTCAGTGAAGCCCGAGTGCAAGCGAGGAGTGTGAAATGTCAGCGTGTAAATGAAAGTAAAGGTGTTCAGGGGGTCTCTGGGTTGAGTCCTCGTAGCCCCACTGTGGGAACCCATTTCTGTAGCTGGTTAGAGCCAAAGAAGCCCTTCTTGAAAGCTTCTTGTCTGTGGGCAGTCTGCAAAACGGTCGGTTGTATTTTGGCAGTTGATTTCCTACTTAATCCTGTAGAAACTTGGTATTTGCAGGAAACTATTTGAATCAGGATTGGAGAGCAAAATCCTGATCCATCTGTGAGTTCAGTCTTGTGGTTATGTTGACGAAGGCATCTTGAGTTGCAGTTGAGGTGCAACAGTTGGATCTGATTTAATTTGCCCCTAAATTTTTGAATGATTAGGATTTGGGTTTGTTTGGTTGTTTTTTTTGGTTTTTGTTTTGCGTGCAGCTCTGTGAAAACAAATACCAGTCTTTAATTAAAAAAATTCTGACGGCTTCTAGTCGGGAGACTAAACCCACGAAGCAGGAACTGACCTGGATGATGGAAAGGGAACCAGTAAGGTCTAGCAGTGAAGCAGCTTTCCCTAGTCAGCTGAAAAGGAAAAATGTGAAGTCCTGTGGCTGGGCGGCAGTAAAACCAAGGGGGATCTTTTGGTCGGGGGCTCTACAGTCGTGGTAAATGCACCACTGCTTAGGAGGGCTGAGCAGTGAAATGCGCAGTGATGATGCAGCCTCAGGAAGACAACTTGGCTCTTCGTTTGAATTTGGTTCCATTTTATGTGGTTCTCAGAGAGACAACGGAAAGAGAGCTTTTGTTGTGGAAAAAACGAGGTTCTCATTCATCAGAGGTTAAAAAAAAAAAAACAACCCCAACAAAACCAACCCATAACAAAACGTGTTCAAACTCATAATCTACTTTTTTGGGCTGGTTGTTTTATTTTTTTTTTTGTGGGGGGGTGGGTGTTTTTTTTGTTGGGTTTCTTGGTTGGTTTTTTTTTTTTATTAATGAAACAAGGTATGGCATTGTGAATTGAGTTTGAGATGGTTTAGATGTAGAACTGGGGACTTCCACCCATTCCGCTCTGCTGCTCATCTCACTTTGATGTTGCTCTTCCCTGTCCAAGGCTGAGCTTTATTTGCCTCTTTTCCCCCTAGGTTTTTTGATTGCAAGTGAGCCCAGCTTGCATGTGCATGAGGGGGAGAAGCAGGATGGGCAAAGTGGTTTGGTTTTGTTTTTTTTTTTTTACTAATTAGAATGCTGTTGGTTTTTTTTTTTTTTTTTTTTTTTTTCCCCCAGTTGCTTGATTAACAAAGCTGCTCTCTTCAAAATCTTGGCCTGGGCGTGGGAGTGAGTGAGGTTTAATGCAGTTGCCTTGTTTGAGGAAACTTGGATTAGAGGCAGCAGAGCGAGAAGTTTGATAATGGCTTGTCTTCTGCTGTGCTGCCCTGTGGTGGTGAGGGGTGTCGATGAGCCGACCTGTGAGCGTGCAGAGCTGATCAGGATGTGTTAAAGGATAACTCACTGTCGGGGGACTGCAGGTCATCCTGTTCCTTGGGATCTGGGAAAGAGAGCAGGCAGAGTTTGGCGTCAATCGCCGTGACGGAGGTTGAATCATAGAATTGTTTGGGTTGGAAAAGCCCTTTAAGCTCCCCTACCCCTGCCATCCCACCCCCAAACCCTGGCCCTCAGCACCACATCTGCCCAGCTGTTAAATCCCCCCAAGGGTGGGGACTCGACCCCTTCCCTGGGCAGCCCCTTCCAGTGCTTGACAGGCCTTTTGGGGAAGGAATTTTTCCTAATTTTCCATTAAGCCCCAGGATGACAATAGCCCTCCTGCTGGAAAGGTTGGGTGGTGGCTGAGCACCAGAATCCCCTCCGTGGGAGACTGAAGAGTGGTTTTCACTTCCAAGAGGCTCACAGTAAGAGTGACAAGGAAAAGCACATTCATATAATTGCATTTTAGAGAGCTCATGGTAATGCAAAAAGAAAACTGAAACCGCAGCCGATGAGTTGGGTCTTGTTCCCTGCCTTCGGGGAGGGAGGATGGACTTGAGCTCAGATCTCCCTGCCTGGTCTCTTTGTGCATCCCTGATGGTCAGAGACGTTCCTGGGAACTGGCTCCTGCCTTGTGTTTCAGCCTAGGGAAGAAGTACGTCTGCCTTCCTGTTGCCCTTTCTTCGAAGTAGCAGTAGCAAGAGGGTAATTTCCATATTTTTTTTTTTTTTTTAAAGTGGGGATGAAAGAAGGAAGCACTGAAATACTCCAGTCTTCCAGCAGACAAGCAGGTGGCCCCAGCTGTTCTTGCCCCATGAGGTCCTTGCTATGCACCATATTTGCACCATATGCCTTATGGTATCTGAGAAAAGGACGCTTTGGCCATCTTCTCCATGGAAGTCCATAGCACAGTGTCTGCTACTTGTCCATGTTGATTTTCTTGGTGCCTAGCCTGTATATTCAGACTAATTTTTTTTTTCCCAGGAAGAAGGCTAGGAGGATAAAGCCATTTTGCTTCTTGAAAAAAGACTTCAGGAAGCCCCAAGACTTTTTTATACAGATCTTTTTAAGTTTCATGAGGCTGGAAAAGCACTTCTTCCTTTGCAGCATTTCTGGCTGGTTTTGGGTGTCTGTGTACTCAAAGATATGAATGTTGGCCATAGGTGTTTGAAGGAGTGGTCGGCAGCTCTCCACGGTATAAAGAGCTTTTTGATTTTTATGTTTTTTGCTCTGGACCTCACTGTGCAGCTCCATGGGAGCCTGAGCCAGGGCTGTTGTCCTGACCCAGCTCGAACGCTCCAGCCCTTGCCCTGGGGCTTGTCTGACCGCAGAAGGAACGGGTTCAGGCAACACCACCACCTGAAAACAAATCCCTCATTTAAGGGTTAGACTTTCGGCTCTCCTGGCTCCCCACTCAGACTGTTGTGGCGTCGGGTGAGTGTCAGCGCTGGCAAAGGGTGGGAGAAGAGGAGGGGTTGTGGGAATGGGCTTGCGCCAGGATGAGTTTGAGCTGCCGAAACGTGTCCTTAGCTGGGCGCCGCTGAGGTTGCACCAGGCAAGGATCAGAGCAGGAGACCGGCGCTGAGCCAGACGAACGAGGACCCTGGGCTGTGAGGCCAGCGTCCTGAGAGCCTCTGCAGCTTTGCAGATGTAAACCTGTACTTCTAAAATAACGTTTGCATCATGCGCATTTGAACTTATGGTCCCATTCCCCCTTCCTTGTGCCTGGTACTGTCATTTACACCTTTGTAAAGCGGGTGTAAAATACCGATGTTCTATTTGATTCCATTTAATATTGTTTTTCTCACCGTGAAATGCGTATCGCAACAATGAAGGCAGGGGAAAAGTCAAGACCGCTTAAATTTAAAAAT